TCCAAAATGAGACCTCGAGGCAATGAAAGTGTAATGACTTCTTTCTTCTTGCCTAGTATTTTATTTCCTGCAATAAATAGCACGTTCTTTATATTTTGGTTCTTAAGCCTTTTCTTTTTCTTTCTGCTTCTCTGGGAAAATATTTTTTAGTATGAAACTCATGTACGAACTTCACTTTGGCCAAAAAAGAAAGTCTCACTTTCTGAACCACCTGAAGTTGTCACCGTAATTGACAACCTCCTTGCCTCACAAAGAGGGTTCTTCTTTTTTGGTACATCTAATATAATGGGTTATATAATAAGTGATAGCTTTTCTTTTTTTCCTCACATGTCTCAAAATTTAAATTTAAGACTTCTAACATGAAAACTCTAGTTCTTAACCATTAGGACATCCCCTGGAACAAAGGATTCTCTTTTTAATATCTGATCTTTCTTTCGTCAACTTAATGAAAATTTCCTCTTGGAAACTTGAAGTTGTTCTGAACACATTTTCTCGAGTCAATTAAAACCCTGCTACCTGCTTCTTGCCTTTTCCGTTGTTGGGTTAGTTGGTGATTAGGTGAATTTTGCTCCGTACATTGGTTCTATAATGCCCTAGTTCCCACTGTTGATGAATATTTCTGAGAAAAACTAAGCCTAGTGCAAAACTTGTTAAGAAATTTTCCTGACTTCGTTTGTTCTGGTTTGGCAGCCTGATAAAGGTGCTGCTGTTCCTAAATTCGGTGACTGGAATGAGAATGACCCTGCACCAGCTGATGGTTATACTCACATTTTCAACAAAGTGATAGAAGAAAGGAACAGCGGTGGAAGAGTACCAGGCACTGGATCTGAACAATCTTCGTATCCGACTGATCGAAAACTCACCAATAACAGCTCTAAGGTATATCCTTTATGCCTTTTCCTCATCAAGCAGCTTGACTCCTATTCTTTTAGTCTAGATGTAACATTTCATTCCTAATGTTGTATCTATCTTCGTTTATTCATTTCTCCAGGGTTGCTGCTTTCCATGGCTCAGCAAATGAGGCCCATGAATATGTGAATGTATATTGTATTTTGTGGAGTGTGGAACTTTGCAAATGCATGAAGTTTCATTTATGATTTATTACGTTTTTATTTGCCCGCACAGGTTATTTTTAATTTTATGTATTAGAGCTTATATTTTATATTATTTTTATCAATTTTTAAATTTTATAATGGTCTTTTAGTTAAAAGATTCTAATTAAATGATTAAGGCTAAATTTGAGATAGCATTTGATAATTAATAAGAATATTTTTTCAAAAAGTTATACAAAGCCATATTAAAAAGAAATAATATTAAGAGAATTCAATAAACATTCAATATCAATATTTTTTTTAAAACTATTATCTCAATTAAAGATTCATATGATTTTTTTTTTCTCTTAATTAAAGCTAAAGTTAAATATGAACATGAACTCTTTCAAATATTGCATTTCAATTGCTTTAAAATTATGATAAAACAAAAAATAAAACTAAATAACACTCTTATTAATTTCTTGTTTAGTTATTTTGGACTGTGCATTGCACATTTTTTTATTTTATATCTATATTATGTGATTTTCTTTTATAATTATTTTTATGATAAAGTTATTTTAAAAAAATGCAAATTGTATTTGTTAATTATATTAGAAGATAAAAATAGAGTTTTTGCATTATGTATTAGAAAACATGTTTTTGAATTCATTTTACACCGAAATATGCTTTTTGCCTTTAAGGTAATTTTGAATTTTTACTGCCCAAACTATACTTCTTATATGGTCATGCTTTAAAAATGGACTCTCATATATTGCAAATTAAAGTTTTAAAACTCTTTCAAATGATTAAAATTTGAAACTATGAAATAAACCTGCGCCGGTTGGCTGGTTTCTTTGAGAAGAATTTGTGAAAAGGGTAGGAAGTGTAATGGATCAGACAAGTTTTTGGTTCTTCAACTGGCCAGCCCAGAAAATTCTTGGGCTGAATGTTGGTTGCTTTGTATGTCTTTCT